ATGCTTAAGAAGCACTGATGTTTTAGACTGCTGAAATAATACCTTGAAAAGGTACCAACGTGTTTCACAGCTAGAACATCAATTTTGTCAGATTTTTTCCTTTGTATTTTGCACCTTGGAATGTCTCAGCATCAGCTCTCACAGTCTTTGTGGTTGGACATGGGGTTATGCTCCTCCTCAAAATGGGCTGGACAATCATTTAATTACATTGCTTCATAACTTTTTTTTTTTTGTTTTTTTTTACGTCTTTGTTGGCTATATGCAGTATGATATGCCAGCTGAAATTGGGGCAGTATTTATCCAATATTTTCTTTGAAAATTTTTCTATACAAAAGGTAAAGCAATACAGCTTTAAAGGGCATAAACACCCTGCAGAAACTCACATTAGCAGAGCAGGATTTCTTCTCCTTACTCATCTGACAAAGAGAAAAATTCTCTTTCTACTTCAAATTAAAAAAACACCTTACCTAAAAGAGACCAAATTTGGAGAGAGTAACCTCCAACAGCAGAAGAAAGATGGCCTGCTTACAGGCAATGCTGCTACTCCAGCTGTTACACAGTCCTTGTAGTACACTTTGCCAAAAAATCACAAGTCATCCCAAGACACTGATTGATTGTATAGACCTTTTACTATTTTAGAAGAGACATCAACTCCTCCTCCTCATGTCTTTCACAATGAACTTAACAAGCCCCACTAGCTTTTAAATCTAAACAATAGTAGTTAAGTGATGGCTTTTTACAGAGAAGCATGACTTTCTTCAAAAACATTAATGCAAACAGTGATTGTTAACTGTTGTCTTAGCATATACAAGCAATTAACTTGGTATTTATGCTAAAATATGTGACAGTTTTTTGTTTTAATGGAACAAAAGTTGGGCTGGATTCTCACCTCAAAGAAGCCATGGAAAATACCCGCTTATTAAAAACAAAGATGTAACTGATTTTTGGTACTGGATGTACACCTTAATTCAGATATGGTCAATTCCAACAAAGGAGAAAATTGCTTCTTCTGAGTGGTTTTGGCTGCTTATGTAATATTACTAACATATCTGAAATAATGTATATTCATTAAATCACCAACTATTCTGTTTTTTAAATAGGCACAACAAAAGGAGCTGATGGTAGTGGCTGCTCCAAAACAAGACAAATTTTCATGGAAAACCGCCACAGGTCATAAGGATCTACAAACTACAATCCTCCATTTTTAAGTCTTTGCTGCATTTCAAGAGCAAGAGTGAATAGTCTCTAGCCTATAGTCTCGTGACATCTCATGATGATCCTCTGGCATTTAAACAAACAGGATGGTGGGACTACTGTCATTCCCACCATGGGCCTATAAACCTGCTCTGCAGACAGCAGTGCAGCAGGAAGAACGCACTAACTGCAGGAGTCAAGAGCGAGCTGGGGAAGGGGAGCCACGAGACTCTTGCTAATGCAACTGGATGGCACCACGTTAATGTTGCTTATTAGCTGCATGACAGTAGGCTGCCACTGAGAAACCTCCTTGTTGCCAAATGTGACCTTTCCCATTTTTTATTCTCTCTTTCCTGCTGTATGGGAAGGCAAGACAGTGCCATGCAGCGCATGCATGGCTGCATCTACCACTTCTTGACTCGTGCTACTCCCAGTCCTGTACAAAATCTGCTCCCTGGGTTAATATCACGCACAGTGTCTCATGTAGATACCAACAAAGCACGTCACAGCATACCGTGCTGATACACCACACTTCCCATGCCAGTATGGATGGAAGGCCTCTACAACAGACAGCAGAGCAAATGGACAAGGCTACAGCAGAGAAAATAGCTGTGCTACATCCTCTTTCACTCCATAATTTAATCTTTCCTGAATATTGCATTTAGAAAAACAACAAATCCTTGCAGTGGCATATTCATTGGCTGCAAAATGTGTGTGTGTGTGTATATATATATATATTTATTTTATTTAGCCTTATCTTAAAATTCTTCCAGAGCCTGGGCCAGAAAACAAGAATCATTCCTCGCTTATTAATTTCTGCTACTAGTCATGCCTTTGTTACACTCATTTAACAAGTCTGTATAATGCCAAGCACCATTAAGGACTTGACTTCAGTGGAGAGTTTTTAATCAATATTATAAAATAGTAACAACTAAATTGAGAATCTCAATTTGTTGTTTTAGAATTACACAGCTTATTTTGCATGCAAAATAGATGTTAAATGGATAAAAGCTTTTTTATTTTAAAAAGTCTGAGATTTCTGCCAAAACCCAACATACAAATGAGGGTGACAGGAAATTCGCTGTCTCTTTCAATGACATACATTAATTTTTTTCCTGCCATATATTGGTATTTTTCTCGTGTTATCTGAGAAACACCACTAAAACAGAGCTGAAACTTCTTTTACATCTCTGGAAGAAACTTTCAAACACCACAATGATGGATCAATAATTTGTCTGAATGCAGTGTGATGGTATAGAAAACATTCAGACACTAATGTGAGCAAATATATTCAGAAAAAGAAACCTTAAAACGAGCCTTTTTTGATATTAAAGTCCTTCTGATAAAAAAGATTGAGAAAAGCTGGGAAAATACTAAAATATTTTGTGGAACTATAGTGACCTTATTGAAATGACAGTCTCAGACATAATTAAATTAATAGAAAATATTTCACTTCTATACTTATGTCAGAGCCCTCACTAAATTTACTACTGCCGTCTAGATGCTTTTTTGTCAGTGAAAAAAATCCAGGATACCATTTTAATATAACATGCATCCAAAGAACAACTCAAAATTCTTAAGCAGCCAAAGAATTGAAATAAAAATTTTGTCTTTTAAGGAAGCATGTTAAATACATGGATCATAATTTCTCAGATTTACCTTCAATTCATTATTTTAATTGAAAGCCACGATAAGGTAAAATATACTCAAGCACGTTACACGACTAACATTTTTTGTATACACATGCTTGTGAATTCAACTAAAGGAACAGCCTTTTTATCTCAATTAAGTGGCACACTAAAGTTCACAATACAAATTAAAAGAACAAAAATAATATAATGTTTTGCAAGTTCTACAGCTAGTTGTGATGACCTTCACTTTCACAAAATTAGAGAGGAGATATTTTGGAGACTCAGTGAGAAACAAGCCCCCAGATTTGATGAGGAATGTTGAAGTAATTCTAACAACTGAATAGAATGATGAGAGGGGACCTTGATGCTGAGAAAAAAACAAACGTACCTAGCAATGTGCAAAATACTGACTCTAGTGTTGTAGAAATAAAGACAGCCCAGCAAAGGGCCAAAAAGAATTACTAAATTGTACTGCACAACACGCCTTCTAATTGGCTGTGTGCATTACTGGCCAAGCCACTACGCTGGGGTGAGCTACAGGTTAGTGGGTTCATTTAGTATGGATGTAGCTAATGACCACTTTTAGTTTCAACAAAAACACAGAAGAGAGGGATGTGACATGTAGTTCTGAAACTGACTGCTACAAAAACCAAAGCTGATTATTGTTTGAGCTCATGAAAAACATGGAGAATTTTTCACTATCGTCATATCTAGTATCTGTGCTTGTTTAAGAGATGATTACCTGGTATGTAAAAAAAAAAATAAAAAAAAATCACACGCTTTCTGGATGAAGTCATGTGCTCAAAATACAAAACTTGAAGGGCTTTTTCCCCTTCCTTTCCTTTTATTCAAACATCCAAGTTGGCCTCAGCACACCAAGTTTTTAAATTTCATGGGAAGGATCCAAAATATGAAACAATTTAAGTAAAAATACAGAATACACTGACAAATATTTAATTCAATAAAGCAATTTTAGATGCTTTTCTTCACTCCTTTTTTTATTTAAAAACTATGGAACTGACATTAAGCAGATGACTACTGTAACAAAAGGAGAAAAACCATTCTGGACTTACTAAAGCATGTAGCCCAGCTTAAACATTCATATACTCAGACATTTGAAGAAGAAATTTAGTGCTCTCAGTGGTGATTTAGAAAGTTACAGTTATATCAGTTTTCTTCTACTGTAGAAAAATAAAAGCACAATGATTTTAAATAGCAAGATAAGGTTGAGATCCTTTTTATGTTTTAAGAGGAAGGAAGGACAGAGAGCTTTTTAAATAATCCAAATTACAAATTTTCTTAATACAGAATAATTATAATAAAAGTCTGACCTGTATCTGTGTGTCAGCCTCCCATATTAGCAGCAATCCCCAGTTCAAGAAACAATTCTCAACTATGCATGTTTATAATTTATATATTATTTCCCATTGATGCTGGGGATAACTGACTGGACCCTAGTGACCTACTTAAGACTCAGAACAAGTCAAGCTCATGCTCAGTGAGTGAGTTGAGCACACAATGTCACCTTCTGCCTCCACAGCATGCTGTGCTCCAGTATTTAACCAAGGGGAACCTTTTCAGCCATGTTTGCAGCTCTCCAAGAGCTTTATGGTGTCCCAGCTGCTTTCAGTACATAAGCTAGTTAGCTCAGTTCTGCCTTTACCACAGAGCACTCCCAGTAACAAATACAGTGGTGACTTAGCTAAAAGTTGTAATGGGGACTGGGAACATGAATTATTATAAAACGTGTATGTATTTTTTTTAATAGATGGCATGGCATAAAGGTGAGGTTAAAAAAAAAAAAATAACAGCTTACTCTACTAATATGTAGAGACCATTGATAGGAACTAAGCTGAAAAAAAGAAAAAAAGACTGCAGAAAAAGATGACAGCAAAAGCTTTCAGAAGCCTGGTTTCAAAACCAAATCTGGGAAAGTAAATGGCACAAATAATGGCAAAAATGGTTATTAAAAAGCTACATTGGATACTTACGGTTCATGTGACTATTACTGGCATTTTAAATTCAAGAAATTGCACAAGCCATTCTCTCTCCATATACACATGCACAAATTATAACTTGACTTTAATAAGGAAGTTTCTCTCAACTGTCAAGAATATCCTTGAAAATATTACTAAAGACACTAGAAATAATGATATTTAAATGTAATTTACCAACCTTCTTGTAGTCCATTATATTTCCTTTTCCTTGTGCCTTAAAGAGAAAGAGATTTTTAGGTAAGACATGACAAAAAACTAGAGTTTCAAGAAAAAAGAATGCAACTGAGAGAGCTACTATTTAAAACATAATTGACTTACTTTAGGAATTTGATATGGGAAAACCTGAAATACAACCAAATGTGTTACCAGCATGGTTCTGTTTCTGAGAGCTACAGATACTCAGTGTAATTTTTTTATTTTTATTATGACTTCTAGTTACAACAAATTTGTTGAATCCAAAATGTTTTGTTCTTAAGAAATCTTGCTGTGTACATTAATTAATCTCTTCCATGAGATTTTGAAATAAACCATACTTCATATCAGCACTAACAAGATTTATTTCCTTAGAAGAGAACTCTGAGTTTCTAGAGTTTCTAGAAGAGAAATCTGAGAGATTTTGCACACAGGTAATAGTCCAGAGCTCTCAAAAGGGAATGTCAGGACCATGTCAGTACTATCAGTCCTAGGCTGAAGGCAATTTTGGTTCAGTATTATATTTAAGTATCAGTATCACTTTTACTTAAGCAGCAGATACACACAACTTGTAACTCCTAATGCATTCAGAAAGAATTATGAAGAGATTTTAAATTCCTTCTTGCCCAGAGTATGTAGTCCAAATTCCTCAGTTTTGTCACAGGATGATGTAGAAGAAAAGATGCCTATGTCGTTCTCATACAGTGGCAGTGGCCCAGAGCCTTCCTGCTTAACCAGGAATCAGCTGGTTAAGATGCAGCTGTATCATAATCACTTCATCCAACTCCAGCTCTTCGCTTTCCAGGCACATAGAGGAAAAAAATTTTAAAAAAACCCAAACCACCCATTTCTTTCTCTCCAGCTTCCACTAGGGAAGACCACAAATCTCAGTTCTTCTGGAATGGGTCTCCTGAACAGATTAGGACCACTACATCTCCATGTCCTCTTTGGGGACTTCAGAGAGCAGTCAAGAAGAGAAGGCCAGCTGGCACAAGGAGAAAAGCTGAGGCCTGCACTGAAGAGGAACACTACGTGGCAAGCACAGCTTTGAAGAGATGTTGCCGAGATGGCACAGACTTAGCAAATACATTAATTTCTGTAAGGGAGGAAAAATAAAATAGAGAAAAGAACAGATGAGAGGCTTAGTGAGCAGAACAGGAAGGAAAACAGTAGATAATAAAAATTATTTCTCTGATGGAAAAAGTGGACTGATCCACAAAACCTCTATACTACTCTTCAAGCTTCTTAAGAGTCAGTTTTTTTCTGGAATGCCTACTAAGAAATTAGCCTGATAGCATTTGGGAGCAGCAGAACTACTGCCAATAACTGCTTCTTTATTTGTGTATTCCCATCTCTTTGATTTGCCAACTTTTATTCCTACTGGTTGAATTTTACAGCTTCTTCAAATATATATCTGGTAGTTCTGGTGTATATCAGAACACACCAGAAAAATGTTCTTTAACAAATGACTGCCTGTATGCAGATTCACACTGCAGCGGAGAATTTGGCAACATGTTTGAGGGTGATGCTCTTCAGTCGTGGCAACACCAGAAGAGGTGTGCTCAGCATGTCTCCTCCTGCCTCTAACAGACATTACAAACAGAAGGAATATTTTCTCATGCTCTCCTCAAGCATTCAAGTCAATGGCAGTCGCGCTTCTCCAAGCAGTGGCTTTATCTAATCTGGTTCATAACTCTTCTTTACCACAACTACACCTTTGCCTTTTTTTTTTTTCTTTGCCTTTTTTTTTTATCCTCCTAGCAGTTTGGCTCTGATTTTTACTGACCCCCATCTCAGACACACAGATATTTTTTTTTCCCCTTTTGCAACAGGCTTCTGCATCTGGTTTAGCTTCCTCAAAGGTATTAAGCCTGACTTGCAAAAGGTATGCAGTCTTCTCACACTTGGATAACCTTCTGTGTCTCACTGCTTGGTGGGGAGCTCAGCCTCTGAAAGTTGGGGCTTTAGGCCCACAAATAAAAGCATCTGCTTACCAGCATATTAGAGACAAACAGCCGACTCAGCTCAGCCTTCCTCCTGAACACCAGAGAACATCACGTGCCACTAGCAAGGGACAGTAATACCATGACATTCTTCATTAATAAATGAGGTGGTGTGAAATCAGCTCACTCTGCCAGGAAGAAGGGTCCCTGAATTCCCCATGAAATGACTCAGTATGCATCAGATAAGCAGACCGCAAGTGGATCACTTCAGACAAGGTTTTTAGAGCAGGTTTTCAGGATGTTTTCCAAGAGCTGACTTTTCTTTCTCAGATGAGATGGTCCCTTTTACATGTCTTAAAACCTATACTTGGAAACGTTCGATAAAGCATATGATAAATGCTTCTCTTCCAGCTCTGTCTCTTCTGAGAAGGTTCAGGAAGGTATAGTGAAAGGCACACGGATTACCTTGGCCTAGATAAGATGGTTCTACTTTCTGAGATTCCTTTTTCAAATTACAAGTACTACAAACTAAGATGGATTCTAGACCTGTTCTTGAGGGATTTAGCTTAATTTCTTCAATCCAGCTTTGATCTTTTCTACCTCACTGCTTAGATGTTGGGTGTCTGTTGAAGCTGGATAATTTTTGCTCTTGTCTAGTGAAAGGTATCTGTAAGTGGCTAAAAGTGATGAACTCTTCTGTCTTTTGACCCCTTGGAAATCCTCCATCCTATAATCCTAGATTATCTGCTAAATTTTAAGACTGCAGAGCTTTCCAAAAACTCAGTGGGACTGCATTCAGCAGCTATTACAACACTTTGTCTGAAGAAGAGCATTCAAGCATTTCCTTGTCTGTCTACCACAGTGTTTCCTAGGAACCACTTATAGTTGGATGGTTGGGCATGTTTTGTTAGGTTAAAAAAAATTTAAAAATTTATTTATTTGAAACATTTCAGGACTCTTCTCCAACCTATACTCCTTTCAAAATAGACACTTGACCAGTTTATTGGATATTTTAGCTTTATATTACAATGGTAGAGGCTGTTGGTGGTGAGGTCAGTGAGAACGAGAAAGATCAAGTCTTTATGGATCATTCATTCACACACGTCTATCAATCTATCTATATCTCCATGTATACAGACATACACATACCCACACATCTTTTCCTCTTATGACAAGGCTTCCCCCTATACACATCCCAAATCCCTTTTAAGGCAGTCTCTAAACTTTGTCCAAAACCACATGTCTAGTCATAAACTCAGCTATGAAGAAAAATTCTACCTGACAGGGACCGAGTGCACTGTGCATGCTTTGCCTACTTAAACCATACAAATGACATTGCACAAGATGTGCAAATGTCATAGGTGGCTTATGAGAATACTCTTAGGAGTACTGCCAACATGAGAAAGGCCCTGGTTTGAGTGCTTGGCCTCCACTGAATGTCATATAGTGAATATGACACAGTGAATGTGGCTATGGATGGTATCTCAAAGGGCGTGTAGTGAACTAAAAGTAGTTTTGCTTTCTAAACCAACATAAGCCAAGAAAGGCTCCAGGATGTGGCACTGCACTTTGTATTGAGCCAAATTAGCAGTAGGTTCCTTTGCATAGTGCAGGTCACTTCTGGGAAGGGGGTGGTGGAAGGGCAGTGATCCTCTGGACCCTCTCCCTGGCTTCAGAGAACAGTATTCCATTTTTTCTATAATGCCCATTTTTGATATGAGAATTAGTAAAGGGACAGACGGTACTCCTAGAGTCCTGCAACCTCCTCTGGATTCTGCACATGGGAAATGGTTTCAAAGCTTTTACACCCTGTGCTGTGCTGATACCATTATTTTTCAATTGCAATCATCGAAACCTATTTACATTCAACTCACATATGAGCCTTGTGTTGAGGCTGTAGAATTCCAAAATTCCTCATCATACATTATAAACTACAAGCCCCTAATTTCAAAATGCCAAAAGGTTTGCTTCACTTTAATATCTTCCAACTCCATACCACTGTAAGGCTGCAGATTCCTCATATGAATGCAGAACCAGGCAGAGGCTGAGACTTCATGGCCTCTACCTGAGAGTCCTGCTTTCAAACCAGGAAGGAAAACAGCCATGGGCAAAACATCTTGAATGAGTGTGCTTGCACAGAGCTAGCTTCCTACTGAAGGCAGCAGCCTTTCTACTGAAAAACTTGTGCAACAACTGCAGGAATTTTCAATTGGTAGTCATCACCACTGTTTACACAGACAAAACATGTCTGACTGATGCAGGAACTCAACAGAATGCTTAATTGTGGCCATCTGGGTGTTTGCCCCCTCCCCCCTTTTTCCCTCCCTGCTATTTTCTACATTGTCTATCTGTTTCAGCAACACCCAGGAAGCTATCCATGGACCTGAATCCTGCTGTGCTACACGGTACATAAAAATGGTCTATACCATGTAGCTACCTTATTCTTACTACCTTCCTCATCTAAGGGTTAGAGGAAAAAAAACCAGTTGAATTAAAAGAACAAAGAATAAGGACATCAGACAGCTAGATCTCACAAACGTTTTGTAGTGGTCAGGAAGCCAAGTGCCTCAGATCTTCATACACATCCCCCCATCCAAAATTGCTGCTCCCAGAGCCAAGTTGGCAGAAGGAAATGTGTGCCTATCTTTCAACCACTATAATGCAAAGTTCTCTGCTGTAATCTGCCAGTGAAAGCAGCTTTATGCTAAGACATGGGACTGCACAAGCAGTGCAGAGAAACAGACATATGCTCCACACAAATGTATCTGCTTGTTACACTCACATACAGAGCTTGACTGTCAGGTCTCTAGATTTCCCCTTCTTGAAGGTTTGGAAGAGAGAGGTGTTAAGTATTGGAGAGCAGAGGTAACCTCTGTGATGTCTTGTCCATTGTTAGATTCTAGGTTACTTTTCAGATTGAAAGTACAGATAGGAAGAGAGATAAAAATGGCAAAACTAGGAAATTCTAAACAATGCTTTAATTTACCTCTCTGATCTGTTTAATCCATGCTTCCCTTCCAAGGAATTCTTGATGGAGGACTGCAGGAGCAGAATTCAAACTGAAGACCATGGTGTCACTAGAACTTTCTTTAACAAATGGCTGAAGGTCTGAATGCAGCTGAAAGAGAAGAATGTGTTTCTTCAGTTCCCAGGAACAGTCTATACATATCCATACACTCACTAAATCAAGGTCCATATCCTGATCCTATACCTACTCACCACTTTCTGCTTTGACACTTGTATTTTGCTTGCACTTTTTCAAGTTTGGGGGAGTGATAGGAAGATGTTGAAAACATTGTAGTGGCAGAAAGTTGTGGTAAAGAGAAGCATGTAGAGAATCTGCAAAGAAACGGGCAGAGGACAGCTTGCAGAGCTGGGCAAGTGGGACACAGTCAGGTAGGCAAATGCTGAGTAGCAGGAATGTAAAGGAAAGAATGATCCAGTGTTTGGTGGGAAGAATATAAGCTTTTAATCTGTGAAGGTGTCCTGGTTTCACTGGGTCAGAATCACAGGCCTGCCATGCTCTGCATAACATTTAGCAGCTTGGAGGCAACCAGAGCAGCTGACCCAAGCTGGCTCAGAGGTATATTCCATACCATAAACATCATCCTCAGTATAAAGGGGGAAGTTTACTATGGATGGGGGGGGGTGTCTCCTGATCCCGCTTTCTCTTCCCACTCCTGAGAACTGCTTTCCTGTTTATTGTGACCCCTGTAGATTAATTTCAACAGTGAGCCTCCTCTCCTTTTCCCAGTTCCCCTTCTCTGCTGGGAAGGGGTCATTGGGTGACAGAGCAACTTCTACAGTTTAGTTTAAACTATTTAGTTTAGCTTTGGATATGGACTGAAAGTAGAAAGAAGGGCAATACATTCTACTTTTCAGGACTCAAGGAAGCTGATGCAATATGACTCTACTTCTGACAAAAGGAAACGTTACATAGCTAGAAAATTTCTATTAAAATTACGCAATCTTTAATACGTTCACCACTGATATATACTTGTGTATAAATATTAAAGGATACCCAAAAATATTAAGGTGACAGTCTGCACTAGAAGCAATTTACTGGTAGAGCTGTACCTAGTAGAGGCATACAGTGGCACTTCTACAGCAGTAAAGCTGTGCTTTACAAAACCACTTCCTTCTCCTGAAGGAAGTAGAAATTGTATAAACCAACTCATCTGAAGTGGATGGGATGTCTGTCTGCCTGTCTCAAGCTATACCTATACTTTCAAGTAATGCAATACAGTAGGAATAGATCTTTAGGGCAAAAAGAGAATGCCAAGCATCTGAGTTCCACATGCTATGTGTTCTCCTTTGGACTAAACTCCAGCTGTGGACTCAAAGCCTTCTAATGGATGTCAGATGTCTTCTCTGGGAAATCCTACTGCTGCAGAGGTATAGGCTGCTCTTTTCCATATTGGGTGACCTCCCTCCTTATCCTTCAGCTACCCCCCTCCCCTGTGGAAATCACCTCCACAGCAGATTATGCAGGTCCTTCAGCCACTGCAGCTCATGCCTCAGCTTGTGTGCTGTTTCAGGCAGTTGAGCCTTTTAGTACAGATCTCTGCATGATCGTAGCTGAGACCCAACACATGCTTCCTCCTGCAGCTCCTGCTGCTGGGACAGCGGCTTTAGTGAGAACGTAGGAGCAGAAGAGGTAAAGTTTTAAGTTGCTACAGAAAGATGTGCTAGAGGGACATGAACAGAGCCCTGAATGACATAAGCTGCATGGCCAAGAGTGTGATTTTGCCAATTCATAAGCACTGTTCACACCAGCAGTTTCTGCAAACATCTTCACACCAGGCAGCAGTCAAATCTCTCAACATCACTGACCTGCTGGCAAATGTCTACAGCACAGTGGCAGTATACAAAGGAGCTCAAGAGCAAGACATCTTACAAGTCTTTCTGCATTTAAAATCCCAGAATGAAAGGAAAAGGTGTACCTTATGACTCATAGACATGTGCTTTCCATACTGAAAGGCCATGTCCTGCATCTCAGCGCTGTGCTTTGCCAGCTCCATCGCAGCCTGGCAGCTCTTTGCCAGCAAGGCACTATGGGACAGGAAAACCTGCTCCTTCCACATAGAGATGCTGATATCATCTGTAACGCAGTTCTCCTGAAAGGGGGGGAGACAACAACAATTTTGTTAATGAAACAAAGGCTAACATGAAAACACCAGAACTGCAGCTGAGTCAGCTCACAGAAGTTAATGGTGGGACACAGGATGATGCGACAACATGGTGAGTAACAAAACTCAGGGTACCACAGTGTCAAATAAAGGGCATTCTTTCGGGGAGAAGTATCAGAAAAAATATACAGGCAGCTTCAACAAACAACATTTTCATTTTCTGCTCAAAAGGAACAGTGCAAAATACATGGAGCTGTCAACAGATTCAAGGTAGATCCTCCCCTTAATGACTGTCTCATGACACTGAACGTTAGCAGTCGACTATATTCATCATGAGGGACTGAGAAGAAAAAAAGCTCCAAAACCAACCAAGCAAAATAAAATAAACCCCTGAAACCCACCCCCAGAGTACATCTGCATTTCAGCCCCTAAGCAGTTACCAAGAACCAACAATCCTAGACAAACTTGAGAAATTCTTACAATTTCTCCTCTGTAGTCAATGGAGAAAAAATTACAAAAGGTACTAAAAATCCTCAGAGAACTGCATTGGAAAAATAAAGGGCTGTGGCAGAGGAACTGTACTACTTCTACTCCCATATTAAGGATGAGAAATGATTGAAACTATTGAAAAATAAATAAATAAAGCTGTGACTTAGAAATGTCAGGTATTAACTTTCCTAGGGGACTGACACAGACCTCTGTGATGCCTCTAGTAAACTTCATCACCTTGACTGTAAGGTCAGAGCTGATCACCACTTCCAGAAATCTTTTGTATCCAAACCAAGATTTTTATTAATATTACTTAATCTTAATATGAATTAGTATTAATATTACTTTAATTAATATTAACAAACTATTATTTTAATATTTTACATTCCACAGTGTTTTAATTAACACAAATCCAACCCTTTTCCTTAAACCCAAATTGAACTGCTGCCCCTTTGGCTCACAAGGTGTTAATATGCCACTATTCTACTATAATCAGTGTTCAAAGCCAGACACCACTTGTAATCTTTCTTACATACACTTTGCTGTCACACCTTTAGGTACCCTCTAAAGAGGGGAGAAAAAAAAACCCAAACCAACAAAAACCAGAAAAGTCTACAGTCCTGTTGCTTAGAAAAAAGTAAAATCATTAATGAGAACCTACAGAAAAAATTTCAAGTGTACAAACATTAAAAAGTTTGCCATTTCCCAGTTCAGCCACATCTGTACTCTACACTAAACCAAAAGGTATTTTTTAAAAGAGTAATATAAAATCCCTCTTATATAACAAGCCTTTTCCCTCAAAGTGATGTCAATTAAATTACTTAGAAATGAGCAAGAAGTAATTCTGTGTGACCCTATAGTTTTCTAGTGAAGTATTATCTGTCATGAAATCAGTAACAAATGAAATAGAATCCATCCGTTCAGCTCTAATTTTCCTCCCTTATGGATATCACCCAGAAGTGCTGCGTTACAAGGGAGAGGATAATTTGAGACTAATGGAAAAAGTAGGAGAATTCTGCAATGCCAAGTAACACAGAGCTGTATCAAAATGCCTTTGCTTTCAGACATACTATTAACTTATACAAGGAAAGTGAAGAACAGAGAAACCACATGTTTGCTATTATGTAGATGATAACTCAGAAAGTCAAGCCTAAACTTTCCTTGTGTTTCATTTTACCATAGTATTTTTAATATCTTAACTCAGCCCAGAGCATGTGCAAATCCCCATGCCTGGCAATATGTCAAAGTGAGCATTTAATTCAAGTAGTTTCCTATATACCAAGTCTTTTTTTCCCCCCACTCAGATATATATCAATTTATTTTACATTTAAAATCAGGAACTGTTGGAAAACGCCACACAATCTTTTCCCTAACCACCAATCTGCTCAGTGAAAAAACAGTACTTACTAAAATTTGCTGGATGATACTGAAAATTGGCAGTGATTTTTGTAATTATTTGCTTTAAATCCAACCAATACAGAAATATTCTAGAAAGGTATCCTGAGACAATTTAGGAATTTAAAAAAAAGCTTTCAGAAGTCTTGTGCAAGTTGAAAACCTTTGCTCGCTAGAGCCTCTGAGCAGTAACACAAATGCAGACATTACCAAATATCAACTGCAGGAACAGAAGAAGTTTAAAGTCACTGCAGCTCTACATATACAAGAAAATTAGTTTTATAATTTGTTATGAAAATATATTGTTCTTAAACAAGTTTGAATTTCATCACAGGATTGAAAACAACGGCACAACAATTTAGTGCCCCCTACATGAACATCATGTAGGAGCTTCAAGCATCTAAAATGGATGTTTAACTTCAGAAAAAGACAAACCGTGAGACATATTTGAAGATATGGTATTGAAATCTTAAAAACATAGGTATTGTGAATCTCCCAGTTACAGAGAGAAGCCCGTTGTAAACAGGCATTATGCCCAGATGTATATGCTTTAGCATAAGAGCTTGCAAGCCAAAACATAGTTGATATTTATCACAGGAAGTCTTATGACCACATACACCTAAAGCTTCTGCTGCTTAAGAATGCAGAGGCAGACACAACCTTTCTTCAGCAAAGTTTTCCAACAATCCAAATGCCAATTTTTCCCAAGCTTAACTCTCATGTTATATGTAACTGTTCACCCACCACACAGCATTCTTAGAAGAATATGTCAAGATCTAGACATTACTTTAAAAAATAAAGGGAAAAATTAAACTAGTTCTAGATTGCACAGTCTGTGAAATCTGATAACATGACAACTTTTAAAAGAAATTTTCACATTTTTCTAAGCTTTGTTTTGTCAGCAGTGGATATTTCAGGCAATAAATATAAAAGCGGACATTAGCTGGCCCAGAAAACTCCTAGCAGCCTTTCATGTGAAAACCTTTTTAAACTCAAATTAATTCTAGCTGCAGTTGACAGCAGTCAGACATTTGATTAACTAATGCCTGTGGAGTGACCTCATTCACAAAATTCTGTCACCAAGAAATGGAACCAAATCACAGCCAACCCTGATGCTGTCTGGGTAGCAGAAGTTGGATGAGGAGAGCCCAGCTGCTCACCATCCCTGGAAGAAAGCAGCCAACTCCAGATACAGTTTGGGTAATGTTGGCATGGGAGTACAGAGAAAATATCCAAACCCAGCTCTGTCGATGGTAATTTCCTATGGGAAATTAGGAACAGCTGAGGGTGCTCCCATTTTACTAATGGCAATATCAGTCATTGTTTTGTTAAGAAATTGGCTAATTGAGATTTTTTTTTTGTTAAGTTACTTTCATAATTTAAATTTGGTTTGAAAAAAATCACCTCAGGCAACAGCAAACAAAAAAACTTTTAGAAAATTAAATTGCAGGACAAAACGTACAATCATAACCATGAGGAAAGGCAGCTTTTAATGATGGTAACAAGGATCCCCAGTGCAAAAGTGGCACTTAACTCAGTTCGATTTGTGACGCCAAAAAAAATGCTTATACACAGCTCAGATGAAAACATATTAAGGAAAATATGAATGAAAATTGTGTCCTAAAAACGCACAAAACCATCTGCAAAACCAGGAAGGAGTAAAAGTCAGAGACTTTTCAATGTAAAACTTCAGCTATAGTTTGTAAGGGAGCCGTTATTTTATTTCCATACCATGGCAGCTCTTTCTCAGCCATCTGTTGTTGCACAAAATGGTTGAAATGCCTGAACCATTATTATCAAACTTTAGTTCATTTCTCAATAGCCAAATAATCCACACAAACACACAGAAATATTTTTAAATATCACATTTTAAAGCTCTAAATTAGGTAGTTAAAGAACTTCCATTTTACATAAATAAAATACAACGTGACTATGAATCTTTCTTCCAGTAGCAAGACCCTGAAGAACATCTTGCACATGGTTCACATAAGCTTTCAACAGATGTATTCCTGCTTGCTGAACATGACAGGGCCTGTTTTATTGGTCTATTAATACACATCTTCACTGCTTTGGGGGGAACAAGGGTGTCTGGAAATGGGTCAGTAAAGCATGCCACCAACTACCTAATACTTTGATTATGACTGTAAAAAAAGCAACACGATTTAAAAAAAAATAAAGTTTGAAAACTTAGAATAAATTTAAATATCTCTCCACATCTGTTACTTTTAAATCTCTCTGGAAAAGCTTAGTATTTAAAAGAACAAAAGCTGTAAACAAAAAGCAACGGCCTTCTTTCTAGCTATGCTTTTTTTCCCCTCTGACACATTTACTCATTCTTTTCACAGATGCTCTTTACTCAAATTCCATATTTTATCCTTCCCTTTTGTCTTGCAACAGAAACACTTGTGTGCATTTTTTTTGTTTGTTTTTTAAAGGTGAAGGCTCTGACTGCTATCATGCTAAAAGGTGGCTTATATGACTCAAAATACATTTGATTTACCTCCTATGGCAAAGAACATCCTAACAGAATCATAGCAAACCTGTTGATGGACATGTACAGTATCCCAAAACATTACTCCTCAATGCAGGACTTGTGACCAAATGTCAAAGAACAACTGGTACAACTCACTGCAAGCAGGCTTTTCTTTGCCAGAAAATAAACTTATTTTCATTAAAAAAACCCTACACTGGTCTAAACCAAATACCTGCTAGTTCACCATTTGGTACAATGAGTACTCGCCACTAATGTATTTGTTTTCTAAGCTTGTTTTACATATTAGTTATGCAATTTTCACACAATTGCACTGCAAATTTCAAAAATACCTAACAGCTCTTCTAGCCATCAGCACAACATGTTGGAGATGATCTAACCTTTAACAACAGTCCCATTCTGATACTAGAGAGTACTTTTGGTAATGCACATTCAGCATCAACTAGGTATTCTGGAGGTGAGGAAGAAACCAAAAGAACCAATAAAGCAGTTTCCCATGGAGTCCCTAATACTTCAGGATTACAAGAATGGTCTGGCAAGTAAAGCACAGGAGCCACCACACTCAAGTCCAGCTCTTGATTCTGCTGTTTGGTTTTGAACTTTCCCATATTTATCATCCTTGTTCAGTAAACTGACAGGGATGTTAAAGCATTCTTCATTAATATTTGTTACACGATCTGGGATATTAAGACAGAAGGTTTCTAAAAGTGTCACAGTGTTCTGTGAGTTAACAAAACATTTTAGAAGCCTTTGGTCTCCCATAACTAGGAAAAAGAGACTTAGTGCAATGTTTTTTTTCTGTTAAAAATAGATACCATGATCATGACTGAAGGCCAGGTTTGACAACTTTCATCTTTGTACTCACTATGGCACAGGTTTTTTTACTCCCAAATCAGACCTAGATTTAGAAAAGACAGACAGGAACTGGGAATAATGCCCTTCACTTACAGAAATTTGGGTTGAGAGGGGATTTAGCACACAAAGCTGCAAAGGTTTATCACATCACCTCTTTCTGCTCCAGCTTACAGTCCAAAATATTAGCTTAATATTACTAATGAAACATTTAAACCACAGCAGCTATTTGGTATTTTGAATATGAATGGCAGCCTTAACCTTCAGGCTGTCTTTGTAACCAAAGCATACACTTTGTAGTTTGGATTGTCACTTCAAATAAAGATGAGAAGTTAAATATTATCATTATTTTCCCCATTTCACACAGATCTAAAGACTCACTATGCAGCAAAGATGAAGAAGGACCAAAGAGAATGTACTAAAATGAGACGGCTGTAGGACTGCATGTGGTTTTACAGAGAAAAAAAAGCGATGATGAGAGTTGCCAAATAATCATATCCCTTATATGTCTTCAGGAGTAAATAAGGTCAGTCTTGTAAGCCCAATTTTCCCAGTGGGTGATGCAAATCAAGCAAACGGAAACTTTAAAAAAAAAAAAAAAAAGAAAGCCATGAACTTAGGGTCTTCAGAGGAGAAAGGTTAATTTTGCAAAATTATTTCTGTATTTTTGTCTACCATCTAGGCAGACATCTGGCAAAGCTCAAAATAACTTGGTGCTACAGTCGTCTATTTTATGGTACTGAGGAGCTTTGTAACAACTGCATTAAGGACAATTAACATATGAAGTATAGTTTTCCTGTCTCAAAAATGAAAAAAAAAAAAAGCCCAAACCAAAAGGTGAGAAGATATCCTTCCACTTGTCCAAATTTAAGACATTCCCAACAATGAAAATGCCATTAATAACATCCCTATGCCCTACACTCAGGGCATAGTTTGACATTTAGTTGCAGAGTAGATTAAAGCATTTTTTCCTACCTCTAGGAAATGTAGTTCATATTTTTATTTCAGGCAAATTGCAATTAAGGATGGGGCAAAGATGCAGAAAGGATGTAAATAAGAAACTAAGAACTGATCTAGTTCATTTGGACTTTTGCTGGTCTTTGGTAAAGAGACATTCAGGACACAAGTGGGACATTGTGTCAGCAGAACAGTGCAAGGAAAGCAGCAGGTATATGTCTCATATACACCATGGGACCAAATTTTTCACAGGACAAGATTAAAAAAAATAAATTAAAGCATATCCCACACTTGTTTGTTCTAGGTCTCAGCAGAAGCCATGCCCGACTCCTTACAAAGACCAAACTTCAGACACTGTCATGAAAATTTCGGTATCCATTATGCCACCATACTAATTGTGTTTTGAGTTAACTGGGTTCCCCTTAGGAAGGGTATACTGTACTTTCATCTCTCCTCAGCCAGAAAAAGTCACTGAAACAAAGTAAGTCTGCTATTTGTAATTGGGCCAGGGCAGGGTAAACATCATGCAGCTGTGCTTAGTTTATCTCACACTTCCCTTGCAATCTACACATGTGGAGTGCTTCAGTAATGCAACAGAAAATACACAGAAAAACTAAGAAAAAGTAGATTAAGACCTTCTGCAGTGGCAGGAACCCAAAAGAGTCCACAACATACCGCATTTATACAAGGTCCATAGTTAAAATAAAATGCAGTTTCATTGCTGGGATGAACTTGTAGAGCTCTACATCTACACACAAAAGAGCAGTTTTTAAAATAGGATATATCTAGGATCTACTTGTATTAAGAAACCTGCCTGAATACAATCAAATTTTAAACATTCTTCGCAAAAGTCTCAAAGACATAATCTATTTTTAACATATAACCCTGAGCACAGCACTTGGGAGCCGAAGGCTGAAGTCTGTTTATCCACAGATGAACGCAGCAGATGCACGAGGACCACCAAGTTCCCAGCATCACATGGCTGCCACGCTCCCAGCCAGGGTCCCCGCTTGAGAGGTGCCAGAGGCCACTCAGTGCACGACGTCCCCCGCGCGCAGCCTGGCCAGCCCGCGGTCCCCCGCGTCTCCCCAGGGTGCCATTACCCCTTCCCTGCCAGAGGCTCTTGCTTCCTCCCAGGGAAGTGCTCAGTTCATCAGCGTGATTGCTTCCTACCTAACTGCTTTTGATCAAACGGAGAAGAATAAGCTTGCACAGGGTTAGTTTTAGTGATAGGGCCAGGGCCCAGCTGCTGGCACTCTCGTTTGGCTGGTACAGAGCCATCACCACACGTATCTACTGTCACAGGTAACCCATGCGACCAGGGCTTCCACTAAGGGATTCATTTTGCTACATACTGCAACATGGCAATAGTAAACCAGAACTGCAATCTAAATACTCAACAAATATAAATGAACTCGGGTATCTCTGCAATCTTCAAACCATTTCACCTACTGAACATTAAGATTCAGTTCTCCGAGGCAAAACTAGGCATGTGAGACAATATCATAAGTAAATCTATCTACCTCAGTAGATTTCAAGCTAGATATTCACATATGCACACTGCTCATCAGTAGGTGAAATCTTGCTATCATAAAACCTGTAGAGGTCATGAATACTTTAAATTACCAATTTTTTTCATGTGTTATGATACAGCCATAGCAAATGAAAGAACTCTTTTTTGTTCCAACACCCTGCCCCAATAAGCCTACTTCAGGAAATATCTCTACAAGTTTCCTTAAATATTCCAGTAAATACAAAAATACCTGTAACTAATTTCACCAATTTTCATTACCATTTTTGCCAAACAAATACAAAGTACATCAGCAACTGCCCTTGAAGGAATACAAGATTATTCGGTCTGAAATGCTGGCAGCCATTATGTTTGCCCATGCTGACTCCTGCAACGCATGCACAGTGGCTTTTCTTAGAGAAGAGTACAGTGCTACTCCCCTACTGCTCCAGGAGAAAACTTATGTTTATACTATCAAAAGGTGAACACTCAGAAGAAGAAAGGATGTGATATAAGTTTGGAATGAAGCATTTTGTAAACATCTTTGGGCTTAGAAATGACACATTCGACATGAAAATATTAACGATCTTGACAACATTGTAATAAATGCTTCTAACAGAATCTTGACTAGAAACCTCTGAAAGTGGAAATCCCATAGTAAAAGATGTCTAGAGCTCCTGGTAATGATATATGATATTATTTCATTAAGCACTCGTGGAAACAAAATAGTCCCTCCTTGATCATTTCTAAAAACTTCCATCAGAGTTCATAGGTGTCAGAAAGGCGTTACTACCAAAACTCATAAGGACTGCAGCTAATTTTTTTCCTCCTTCTCTCTTAAACAGATGAGAAAGTCATCGTATCATTTGTGGTCACACATTAATATCACCAAACATCTTGGGTATGTAAAAGTACTGAAATTCTTACCTCAGATGATTTTGAATTTTCATAATATATACCTTGAACTAAGTCACCAATAGCAGTTGAAATGAGTTCCACAACCTGTAAAACAAAAGAATAAAAAGCCTTACATCTTTAATTATCACCAAATTTACTAACAAAGCTACTGCCAGATTTCCAGAGAGATAAACAGCCATAGATTTCTTTGCTAAAAAGTAGTTGTGAAAGACTGCAGGATTTACTGAACTATATTCTGCACAAGCACGATCTCATCTCTCTGCTAAAATCTCTACTACAGTAACTCTTTTATGAAAGTTTTAAGTTAATATAAATGAAAAAAAGTTTTTTTTTTTTCCTTGCTAAAGCATGAACTATTGAGTGTATTCTCACAAGGACGTTCACAGAACTAACAAATCCCAGTTCATGAATATGAGACAGTACCTCAATCTGGGCTTTGTTTTGTTTTGTTTTTTTCCCTGCCAAGTAAATACTTCACAATACCTCTCATTGGGAGCTGTTAAAATTCTAATCTTCGTGGCTAATACAGAAAAGTCAGAATCCATAGAAAGGTAACCTTTCAAATGTGATCATTTGGTATTCGGGTGCCCTGGGAATGCACTGTGGATGTATTTAGTGCATGGCCCGAGGCTCAGCTGTACCACATACACTGAAAGTCTGCAACACGGGAATGTTTAAATCAGATTTATCAATCTGTATTATCTTCAGGGTTCAGACTTTTTATTTTATTCAAGCAAAGCCTAAAAACCTGAACTTGATCCAGAATGTAAAACAAGCAGTCCACGGTCTCCCTGGAACTACTGTACAATTTAAAGTCATGCACATAAACTGTCTTAATTGGAACAAAATACTCAGATTTATTGTAAAATTAAATGCAGGCATTTCAAATAAGCGCACCTTCAGGCTACCCCTTTAGTTGCTCACAAAGTTTTAATTTCTTGAATGTTTAATTTCCTATGCATATGAGTCTATATCTGATTCCTCTTTTTGCTTCCTAAAATTCAGTGTAGTTCTTATTGAATTAAAAGGTTCAGTTTCAATTTTTATCATTCTTGTAACCGAAGACAAGATGTCAAATGATAAAACCCCTAACAGAAAGATATTTTAACATTTAGGCATACTTTATTTGATAATAGAAACACATTTGTATGCCAATTTTGAGTAGTAGTAGAAACGTTGTATGTTTCCTTTTTTTTTAAACACTGGTTCATATACATATTCATATACACAGAGCAAGTGCTAACTTTAGAAATGGTGCTGATTAAAAGTCATGTTTTTTCTTGCAATGCATATGGGTTAATTTACAAGACCTATAAAAACAGCCTAAAAAAAAAACAACTTTAAAATCACATTGCCCTTTAGGAAACTAGATACCGAAGAAATATTGTAGCAATATGAGCTGCAGAGGAACTGAAAGGACAATGATCCTACAGTGTTACCAGATGTGTTATTTAAGTGGGGAACAGAGAAAATGAGGAGCTTTTTCTTTTCCTTGTCTTTTTTTTTTCCCCCCACCATTTTTTTTTTTTTTAAGGTATCAGATAAGCCTTATTCCCAAATCCAGGAGGACTGAATATCGCCAATAGGTCTATGAAAGTCTGTAACTAAATGCCCAGGATCAGATTGTATTACAGTTTATACAAGCAACATCCCAAGATTCTTCTGATGGCTAGGACACATAATACAGATCAATCACTCACTAAAAAATGTTATGGTTTGTGAAATGGTCTGAGCTCAGAGACCTACACTGGTAATACGAAGAGGAATTTACAAAGACACTGAGTCCTATTCTAAATGTCAAAGTGATAGTATGAACTTTTAACAATGCAGCTGGCTCTGGATAACTAGACCTTTTCCTCTCTCGCCTGAAACTCTAGACTGAGCAGGACCCTGTTTCGGGGTTTCTTTTTTCCATCTCTCTTCTCTCTTTTCAGTGCAACTCTACTCTCAAAGGCAATTTTAACTGACTTAAAACAATCTTGGTGAAGCATTTGTGAACAACTGTACCTCTTCCTCTTATAGTTTATAAAACATCTTAGGAGAATTACATATTCACTATGTAGAAGAATCCATATATTAAATGCCATTAGGCCTTCGGTGACCTATTGAACACTAAATGTTAGCAAGAATTTAGTATTGTTGTCCCAAGTACCTTTTTTTTTTTTTAAAGAATATTTTTCTAAGGTAAATGCAAGGCCATACAGATCACTACCAGGAATGAAATTCCAGCTTCAAGAGCACAGTGGGATGCTTGCATGCGGCTCTGTTACTTCATCAACTCTTAATCCCATCTATGAAAAGCATCTGCTGCTTAACATCAGAGGCCTGGGGTCTTATGTACTGGGGCAAGCAATGAGAAATGAGGAAACCAAGTAATTTTTCTCTGTGTCCCAAACTGACACAGAGGAAGAAAACTTATTACAGATTCAGTAGTATTCATGCAGCCAGCAATACACTGACTAGTTCTTATGGAGCACTTCTCATCAGAAAATTTGCAAGCAATCAATATTCCCTGCAAACTTTATTCCCTCCTGTTTTATGTAAGGGGAAAACAGTGACAGGGAACTGATTTTCCCCCAAATCATGCAGCATGCCATGAAAGAACAGAAAACAGTACCCAAGTTGTCTCTGTTCTCATTGGTGTCTTTTCTTCCTGATCAGTGAGTGCCCTGTTCTACTTGCTGACATTTCTGAGAAGTAAGTTTGAAGAGCAGGAAAGATAGATGAAAAATCAAGTGCTTCCAACTGCTTTTGTTTTCTTCTCATTTGAAGGTGGAGCTCCATTTTAAACGAGTTCAAAGACGGAGAAAAGAAAGAGGATTGCAAAATTAGTGCTTGAAAACAGCAGCGTCTCAAAAAGAGACCAAAAGCAGCCTATTCATAATCCATCTTCCTACTGTTTTTCCACTCTTCTACATAGTTTTGAGAAGCCTGTTCCCTCTTAGGTACTTGAGATGAGCAGGAGTAACATCATATAAAGAGAAAAACTTCCACTCTATTTTTCATTTTCCACTCCGGATCAGCTTATTCCAAAGCATTCTGATTTCTGCTCCCTCAGAGCATCAGCAGGGCTAGGATCAGCCCAGGGGATGGCCCTTTACTTGCAGGTGAGAAGTGCACATGCACATAATTTCACACCTTTTAAAAACACGTTCTGCAACAGTTCTGCCAGCATTGATTTTTTTTTTTTTTTAATTTTTTTTGTGTGTTTGTTCAGTTGTTTTTTGTTGGTGCCTTTTTTTTTTTTTTCCCCTCTCTAAGGAGGTATTGCTTCAACACAGTTCTGCAGAGATGTGATCTTGTCTGCTTTTAAAAGGTCAAAACAAAGGCCATCAATTTAGTATGCACATAGGGAAGAGATGGATTGTTAAAGCTAAAATCTCTCCTACAATCTAGGCAAACCATGCATAACATGATGTAGGCAAATCTAGCGCATAACATGATGTAAATTCTGGACACAAGCATGGGATCCCCAATTCCACAGCATGATAGAACTCATGTTCAGACCTCTCCAATTTATGCGAATACAAAATAATCCAGAAGACTGCAGTAGGTTTCAATGCCAGAAGAGCTCTGTAGGCTCGAAGATCGGACGTTTGGTGAAACTTAATTCACCCTTTTTTGCAATTTATTTCTCAGAATTAATAGAATTAATAGCTTTAGCCCTCCACGGCTCTTTACATTTAATTTGAGTCTAGTTTCTCAGTCTCAGAATTTCTAAAAATTGACTGAAGAAATAAACCAAAATGGTCGTAATTTTCGTAGTGGTTCAGAAAATGACTCAAGACAGTCAACCAACTACATGTTGAATTTACTTCCTCATTTTCCTGAAATTAAGGCTAAATCTTTCAGGTAATTTCCTGAGCATCCATCTATAAGGTAATTCAGGGTTCAGAATTCCCAAAGCATTCTGTATGCGTGATGACACAGAATAGGACCACACGTTCCCTGTCACAGGTACAGCAGCCTGCTTCTTTCCTATAGTTGACCACACTGGGAAATCCAGCTCTGTCTATAAAAACCAGATTTATTTTAATCGAAGTGAAACATTAAAGCTAGAAGGACTGCAGGGAAATCACAGAATATGACACATTGGTAGAATACTTTCTTTGAAGTTGGAAGATATGATTCAGACTCCTTCAAGCACAGTAAAAAGAATGGATTCTGGGCCCTGCTCATCCTTCATGAGATGCCTAAACACCTTGGAAGAAAAGATGACATTGCTGCCATCAGTTTAGCAACTCAAGCACTATGTTCCCTTTGCTTGTCTTTGAAACATTTTGTTTAAAGTTCACTGCAACATAACACTGCATATGTATTTCTTCCTGGTTTTCATTCCAGGTTAAAAAGAAAAAAAAAAAACAAACCAGAATTAATTTTAGCTCCATTCAATGTGTGGTGGTTTTATTTTAAATTCAACAGCTGAAATGGAATTGCTTACAGAGACCACTCTACTTCAGAGTAGTAATACAGTGTCTCTCCGGATTCTACCAGATATTTTCAAGAGGAACATGAGGGAAAGGATGAAGCTCTTGTGGGAAGACAGGAAACAGCACTAGGAAGAACACAGTAATGGATTATCTTTGGTTCCTCATCCTTCCCAATTTGTATTTAACAAATTTCCTTAGCTTTGCCAAATTCCTTTCAAGAAGGACCACGAGTAATTCCTTCCTTTTAGTGTTGAAACAATACCCCTCCCTCACACATCTGCTGTGCAGACTTCAAAACATCGCAAGACTTCTCCACACAAGTAAAGAAGAAAATTAGATAGTCAGGAAACATTAAATATACAGGCAACAGTTCCTTCAACTTGCATTTGACTTCCCTCCCCAAAGAGGTGTTAATTTTTTGAATTATTTCCACACTTAAAACTTCCATGCAAAGTTCTTAAATATTCTACTGCATTTGACTCAGAAATGTTGCAACGCTTGGAGTCTAAAGACAAAACTCAGTAAACAGCTGAAACTGGATTTTGATTTTTCAACAATAGCTTAAAAACGGGAGCAAAATCTCTAAGGAGTTCCAAGAACTCTGGAATTCAATTTTCTTTCCTGGCAATCTTCTCAAACACTATTAGTCATACA